CTTCACACTGGACTCCGGTGCTTCTCGCTGTTTCTTTCGTGACCGCACTGCCCTTGAGCCGCTTGCTCGGCCAGTTGCTGTCTCCCTCGCTGACCCCTCTGGGGGTCCGGTCATTGCGACCTCCTCCACTGTCCTTCCTTGTCCTGCGGTCCCGTCGGGCACACTGTCAGGTCTCCACCTCCCCTCGTTCTCTACGAACTTGGTGGCGGGTTGTGCGCTCCAGGACGGGGGTGTTCACCAGTTCACCCCTGCCTACGAGCGCGTGACACACTGCACGTGTGCTCGGACGGGCCGTCACCTGGCTACCTTCACTCGGCAGCCGGGGTCGGACCTGTACACACTGACCACTGAGTCCCCTCAGGTAGCTGCGTCTGCGTCTGCGTCAGGTCAGCTGTCGGCCCCCTGCTCGTGTCGCTCTCTGGCGCACGAGACCGTCCTCTGGCACCACCGACTTGGTCACCCGTCTGTGCAGCGCCTTCGTGCCATGCATAAACGGTACCTTGTCTCTGGTCTTCCCAGGGTTCTCCCTCCCCTCCCACCCTCGCCTGCTCCTCCCTGTCTTCCCTGTGTCGAGGGGCGGCAGCGCGCCGCTCCTCACTCCTCCTCGTTTCCCCCGACGACTGCTCCCTTGCAGACGCTCCACATGGACGTGTGGGGCCCAGCCCGCGTCCGTGGTCAGGGTCAGGAAAGGTACTTCCTGATAGTTGTTGACGACTACTCGCGCTACACCACGGTCTTCCCCTTGCGCACCAAGGGTGAGGTCCCTGATGTTTTGATCCCTTGGATCCGCGCTTCTCGTCTCCAGCTCAGCGAGCGTTTCCACTCGGACTTTCCTGTCCTGCGCTTGCACTCTGACAGAGGTGGTGAGTTCTCCTCCGACCTCTTGGCAGCCTACTGTGCGGAGCACGGCATCCGCCAGTCGTTCACGCTTCCGGCCTCTCCACAGCAGAATGGGGTTGCTGAGCGCCGCATTGGCTTGGTCATGGAGGTCGCTCGTACCTCCTTGATCCATGCAGCTGCCCCCCACTTTCTGTGGCCGTTTGCGGTCCGATACGCTGCGCATCAGCTCAACCTCTGGCCCCGTGTCTCCTTGCCGGAGACTTCCCCGACACTGCGTTGGACGGGAGAGGTTGGCGATGCGTCGCGTTTTCGGGTCTGGGGATCTCGAGCTTTTGTTCGCGATACGTCCGCGGACAAGCTCTCCTCCCGCGCTGTTCCTTGTGTCTTCCTTGGCTTTGTCCCGGACGCGTCTGGTTGGCAGTTTTACCACGCCACCTCGCGCCGTGTCCTGCCCTCACAGGACGTCACTTTTGACGAGTCCGTGCCCTACTACCGCCTCTTCCCCTACCGCACTGCCCCGCTCCCCCCCCGCCTCTCTTCCTCGCCCCAGGTGCTGCTATGGTAGACCCCCTCCCCCCTCAGGGTGCCGCTCCCTCAGGTGTGTCCCAGGTAGACCCGGTTGAGCCTGTCGAGGTAGCTGTCGACTCTCGTCCTGCTAGGGGTGCTGAGCCTGAGCGTGCGGAGCCTGGGGGTGCGGAGCCTGGGGGTGCGGAGCCTGGGGTTGCGGAGTCTGGGGGTGCTGCGTCTGGGGGTGCTGAGTCTGGGGGTGCTGAGTCTGGAGGTGCTGAGCCTGGGAGTACTACACCTGGAGGAGCTCTCTCCTCACAGCAGCTGCGTGAGTGGTACTTACAGTACTGCAGCCTCAGGAGAGGTGCCTCTGGAGCTAGGAGTGCTGCTGGAGCTGGTGCTAGTGCTTCCCCTCCTAGGCGGGAGCTGCCCTCTCCCCAGCGGCTCCGAGAGTGGTACGCGCGGCGCTGCAGTCTCCGGAGTGGCGCTCCTAGTGTCGCGGACCCTGGTGCTGGAGGTGCTACTGCTGCTGGCGGTGCTGCTGGTGCTCCTGGAGGTGCTGCTGGTGCTGGTGCTACTGACGCTGCTGGAGGTACTGCTGGTACTGGTGGTACTGCTGGTGCTGCTGGAGCTGCTAGAGGTACTCCTACTACTGGAGGTGCTGCTGGTGCTGAGGACCCGGGCGTTGGAGCTGCTGCTGGTGCTGAGGACCCGGGTGTTGGAGCTGCTGCTGGTGCTGCGGACCCGGGTGTTGGAGCTGCTGCTGGTGCTGCGGACCCTGGAGTTGGAGCTGCTGCTGGTGCTGCCGACCCTGGAGTTGGAGCTGCTGCTGGAGCTGAGGACCCTGGAGTTGGAGCTGCTGCTGGTGCTGCGGACCCGGGAGCTGGTGCTGCTGGTGTAGCTGGAGACCCTGGAGCTGAGGGTACTGGTGGTGCCTCTGCTGGTTCTGGAGTCGCTGCGCGGCCGCGGCCGTACTTCGTTCCGCTCCTTCAGCAGGTTCTTGGTCAGCCGCCTCCCCCTAGTCCTGCTCCCTCCTTAGAGTGTCCTCGGCCTGTCCAGTCGCAGTCACAGTTACCGCCTGCCTCGCCACTCCCTGGTCCTTCTCCTTACACTGGTCCGACTGGAGGTCTTACAGAGCGTCGTGAGCCTGAGTCTCGTCCTGCGTCGCCAGAGTCTCGTCGTGCGTCACCTGTTCGTGCTGCTCACACTGGTCGTCGTGTTCTGCGTCAGCGTCCTCCTGCTATCCCAGGCACTCACCAGATGGCACTTCGTCCTTCCACTGCTCCTCAGCGTGTCCCTCTCCCGTCTCCTCCTGCGTCTTCTCTTCCTGCTCTTGCTGACCCGGAGTCTGACTCCCTTCGTGCTGCCAGTCCTACTGTCACGCGTCTCCTCGCCACAGTTGTCACTGACCCTTCCTTTGAGTCCTCTGCTGCGTCTGCTCTAGTCGCTGAGTTAGTTGACTTTGCTGCCGCTTGTCGTCTAGACTACGCCGCTAGCCTTGTCGCTGAGTCTGAGTCTGAGTCTGTCTGTCCTTCGTCCGTCGGGGGTGAGTGTGCTCTTGGCACGGACGTCCTTGAGGACAGGCAGGAGGAGTTTGAGTGCTTTGCCGCTGCGTTACCTCATCTCGTGTCCATGCTGGTTGCCCCTGAGGGAGACCCGGATGCTCCAGACATCCCGACCCCGCGCTCTTACGCTGAGGCGATCGCGGGTGAGTACTCCTCTCAGTGGCAGACAGCCATGGACGCAGAGATGGCTTCTTGGAAGTCCACAGGCACCTACGTCGACGAGGTTCCCCCACCTGGGGCGAACATCGTCAGTGGCATGTGGATTTTCATGGTGAAGCGGCCGCCGGGTTCTCCGCCTGCCTTCAAGGCGCGTTACGTTGCACGAGGCTTCAGTCAGCGAGAGGGAGTTGACTTCTTCCAGACCTTCTCCCCGACCCCGAAGATGACCACTCTTCGGGTTCTGCTGCACGTCGCCGCTCAGCGTGACTACGAGCTCCACTCTCTTGACTTCAGCACAGCTTTCTTGCAGGGCAGCCTGCACGAGGAGATCTGGCTGCGCCGCCCACCTGGCTTCACTGGGTCGTTCCCTCCTGGTACCCAGTGGAGCCTCGGACGGCCAGTCTACGGTCTCCGCCAGGCGCCGCGTGAGTGGCACGACACACTGAGGACTACACTTGCGGCTCTTGGGTTCGCTCCTTCTACTGCTGACCCGTCGCTGTTTCTACGCACCGACACTTCACTGCCGCCGTTCTACATCCTCGTGTACGTCGACGACTTGGTCTTTGCCACTGCTGACACTACGGCACTCGCCCACGTGAAGTCGGAGCTGCAGAAGAGACACACGTGCACAGACCTGGGTGAACTGACAAGCTATCTTGGCTTGCGGATCACCCGGGACAGAGCACGGCGCACCATCACCTTGACTCAGTCACACATGGTGCAGCAGGTCCTTCAGCGCTTCCGCTTCACGTACTCCTCGCCTCAGCCCACTCCTCTGCCTACCGGTCACTCACTCTCAGCTCTGCCTTCGGATGAGTCCGTAGAGCCGAGTGGCCCGTATCCAGAGCTTGTGGGCTTCCTCATGTACCTGATGACCTGCACTCGACCTGACCTTGCATACCCTCTTAGCATCCTTGCACGCTATGTCGCTCCTGGTCGTCACCGGAAGGAGCACATGGATGCCGCTAAGAGGGTGTTGCGTTACTTGTGCAGTACGTCGGGCATGGGGCTAGTGCTTGGAGGACGAGACCGAGTTGTACTCACTGGGCACTCAGACGCTTCTTGGGCTGACGACCAGGCTACTCAGCGGTCGTCTCAGGGTTACACCTTCAGCCTTGGCTCTGGTTCTGTTTCTTGGCGTTCTACACGCTCGTCTTCCGTTCTCAGCTCCAGTTGTGAGGCTGAGATCTACGCCACAGACATGGCTGCACAGGAGTTACGCTGGCTCACCTACCTGCTGACCGACTTGGGAGAGCGGCCTCGTTCTCCTCCAGTGCTGTACGTCGACAACAAGGCTACCATTGCCTTGTGTGAGGAGCACAGACTGGAGCACAGAACGAAGCATATCGCTCTACGGTACTTCCTTGCTCGAGAGCTGCAGCAGCGTGGTCAGCTTCGTCTGCGTTACGTGGCCACTCGGGCCAACACTGCTGATGTGTTCACCAAGGCGCTTCAGCCTTGTGACCATCAGCGCTTCTGTACTGTTCTAGGCCTTGTGCCTACTGTGCCTCACTTGCTTACTTCTTGACTCTGTTTGTACTGTGATCTCTATATATATACCTGCATACTTACACTTGCTAGGTTGTGCTCACTGTACCCCTTGCTATATTATTAAACTGCATGTGAACTGGTCTTGTGACCACTTGCTTGTGCTCGGAATTTGTGTGGTTTCCTCGAGATCCACCCTGAGCTTGCTTTGCCCTTCCTGACTGGTCTTGTGACCACTACTTGCTCTGGCTATCCCCCATTTTGCCTATGGGGGTGTGTCAAAACATATGCATAATTGTATCTAGGCTATATTGGGGCTAGCCTTAGGGGGTACACAAATAGTCTCGACACTCTAGTCTTGTACCCCAATCTTCACCTAATCATCACCTTTTTCCTCGTTCCCTAGCTAGTGATTCTAACAGGTGTAAGTGTGTGTGGGATTCAATCGGCCAATCGCATGCGAGCGAGGGCCGGGTGGGAGTGTGTGATGCCGACGAGCGAGAGACCGTCCGCTTGATGCTGATCAAAGTCCCGTGCGTACTCTGGGGGGAAAAGGGAGGAAGAAGGGGGGGAAGAAAGAAAGAATGCATGAGGATTGACAAGGGCGGGGTGCGAGTGTGTGGTGTGATGTGATGCCGACGAGTGAGAGGCTGTCCACCTGATGCTGATCAAAGTCCCGTCCCGGGGGAAAAGGGAGGAACAATGAGAAAAGGGGGGGATGGAGAGGTGGGGAGGGAGAGAGTGAGAGAGGGACAGGAACAGTCGTTAAGTTGATTGCTCACGAGCACGTGTCACTCTTTTGTTGATCGTTGATTGGTCACTGCTGCTTCACTCTTTTCAGACAGGGTGGGTGGGGGTGAGTGCATGCACACATGCATGCATTCATTTGTGTGTATCCCGCGTCTCACCTCGCCCACTGCCATCTGGGATGCCAACGGAGTGGATGAGCCACGAGCACACGTCACTCGTGCTCCACTCAATCAGACTGACCGGACCGCTCCACACCGCACTGCACTCCTGTAACCTCCCAGCACTAGCGCTGGCGCCAGCAGCGGCAGCATGAGTAACCCGGTTACTAGCAGCACCAGCAGCAGAGGCACCAGGACCAGCACCCAGGTCACGAGTGGCAGCAGTAGGAGCAGAGCCAGTAGCGGGCTGAGGGAAGGAGGCCAGCTGGGGCATGTTGGGGAAGCGGTGGTGGAGCATCGGAGGCGGAGGCGGAATGGGGGAGAGATGTAGAAAAGTCGCCACTGCCACTGCTGCCACAGTGAACGCGGAGGTTGGGACTTCGTCTCGCCCATGTGCTATTCTCACTGCCCCTGCTGCTGCTGCTTCTGCCGCCGCCGCTGCCACTGCCACCGCTACCGCTGCCACCACATCTGCTGCCCCTGCGAGTCTCCCTTGCTGCTGTTTCATCATCGCGCAATGCATCCCTCTCTTCTACCTCTCCGCCACCCATTCGTCTTTCACCACCCCCTGCTTTGTCTCCCACACTCCGCTGGGCCTCCCTCCATTCCTCGGCCTCAGCCGAGAGGGTAGTGGCGGGGAGGGGAGGTTCTTATATCTGGGTTATTACGGTAAAAATTCCACCCTTGATATGTAAAACAGATGCTGAATCACAAATTCAATCAAGAATGCTTGTGACAATATGCTACATGTGATGACTACCAGTATGAAAATAACACAATCTGTATATAAAGCACGGATATGTTATTTACAAGAAGGTGATCTCCAATCCTGCAAACCGTGGTGCAAGATAACACAATGAGCTACACCCTAGCCCCTAAGTCCCATCCCATGATGTTTGCAGAAGTCCTTACAATTTTCGAACATGGACGTGATGGTCATGCTCATACGGGTCTCTTCTTCAACTTCCCGCAAAGTGCATGGTCATTTTCTGGATGAGAAGCAACCAAATGTGTGCCTGTTGACTGATGAGTATAGGACTCAATGAATATCCTAACATCGGCTGGAGTGCCTGGGCCCAATACCTGTGAGGCAGTGAAGCTGCAACGCTTGAGCCGACCACCCCTGATACGCGTGATGTTCTCCCATGCACTTCCTTCATATCCTGCCTCAAACTTGCCAGCAAGGCAATTCGAAACAGTGTCCATGGAGGGCACAGCCCCTCCAGTCCGGACGTTGTTGATTCGCACTTTGAGCACAACGTAGTTGGCACTTTCAGAGGCAAGGGAGAATAGGAGGGACAGGAGCACCACGTGTTAATTCATGCGCCTCCCCACACGATATTTGTGCAAGAACATGAGAATAAGACACGTTCACACTCTTAGAAGTGTTAAAAGCAGAGTTAGCAACCTGTTGTGTTATGCGTTAAGCTGCATTGTCCAAGATATCATCAATAAAGTCGATGGTAATAACTGGCAGCATTTGCATGGCTTCACCAAAGCTAGCTACTATGGATAAGAAATAGCGAACTTACGTAATTCCCTTCATGATTACTTTTCCGGTTGCTCCTCTGTGAGAGTACGACGGCTTATGCCAGCTATGCTTGCTTGCCTTTCCTTTATCATGCTATTTCTAGCATAGGATAATTATATGCATGCAGGAATTGCTTGATTTCCTAGGCTAGGTGCTTTCCTATATTCTATTATAGTTATAGCACCGAGCTAGGTTGCGTGCACCGAATTCTGGCCTTTCGGTTGCCAACCGAATTGCCTCCTACCGAATTCGGTAAGGATCTGTTCGGGACGCTTCGCGACCCGCGGAACCTTCGCGTAACACCTGGTTACGGGGCCTTGTGTCGAGCCTATATATATATAGCCTCGTGTTGTACCCAGGTGATCATTCAATTCAATTCACATTCTCTTTTCTGAGCTCGATCCTCGATCCTCACATCCTCGGTCGCCAACCACTTTTCCGTTGCTACGAGGGGGAGTGAGCCTGGCCACATAGCGCACTGGAAAACGAAGGCAGGGCAGGCATAAAGGAAAAGGTAATTGGAAAATACTTGAAGCAGTTTCCGTTTCTGGACCTTGGATGAATGGTCCAAGGGGGTTAGTAGGCGCATAGAATGTGCGTGAAAGAACCAAACATGTTGTAGTGGAAAGACAGTGCAACTTTAGGCAACCGGTGGAGCAGTAACAGCCTGTTAAATGGAGCAACAAACGGAGGGGAACAAACGGAGCGCAGCGAAACATCTTGCTCTTGGAAGGTAATTTTTTTATGGAAATCCTTGCTCGGTTTGCGAGTTTCGAGACGCCTCTAGAATCGGAGAAACACTAAACTGAAGGAAGCACTTACGAAACACCTTTCCCTTCACCAACGGCCTCGCGAAAATCTAAGGCCCGAAAAGTTGCGTGCCAGCAACTTCAAATTTGCTTTTCCGCAACTTTGGTTTCGCAAGAAAAAAGTCTAGGTCAAAGGCTTCTGTGGCGGGGTGACTTTCGAAGTTGCGGAAAAGTGACGACAAAGCTTCGAAAGAACGGCCATATCTGTCGAAAGACTAGGCAAAAGTTAGAAACAGAAAAGAGGATTGCACTAGCAAGCAGTTGAGTACATATAGCAAACCCTAAATTGGGCTGTACTCACTATTGAGTACCCCACTGCAGGCTAGACAAACATAACATTCTGACACACCCCCATAGCCAAAGTGGGGTGTAATCAGCACAACAAGCAAGCAAAAAAAAACAATAGTTCACAATAATAATAAGCAAAGCTAGAAGCTATCACAGAGGGCAAGTGTGGAGGAGGAGGGACTATGAGAGGAGAGGAGGTAGTTGTCAGAATCCCAGCCACTAACCACTGGGATAAAAGGGCTTGTTTACGTAGCGGGTGAGTGCGCCCATAACCCCCCAGGCCGCCGTGCCTGTAACCCTTCCCTAGGATCGATCGGGGATCACCAGTGGACCTCTGACACCCCCCCGCACTGGGATGCCCGAAGTGCACACACCGGGATTCGAACCCGAGACCTTCGCTCTGATACCATGTCAGAATCCCAGCCACTAACCACTGGGATAAAAGGGCTTGTTTACGTAGCGGGTGAGTGCGCCCATAACCCCCCAGGCCGCCGTGCCTGTAACCCTTCCCTAGGATCGATCGGGGATCACCAGTGGACCTCTGACAGTAGTGGGCGGCAGCTGAAGCTGCTGGCACACGGCGCAACTGGAGCAACTGGCACACGGGCAAATGGAGCAACTGGCACACTGGCAACTGGAGCAACTGGCACACGGGCTACTGGAGTAACTGGCTCCGCGGCTAACTCTGAGCGGCAGGAGCAACGGACCCACGGAGCAACGGGCTCACGGGCGACTGGCGCAACGGTCTCACGGGCGACTGGAGCTGCTGGCTTCATGGCGGCCACCCCCCTTCAACCTCCCCAAACTGTCCCACCCCCCTTTCACACACCCCCTGCTGCACCCCTAGCTTCACTCCCACGACACACCCCCCTAGCACCACTCCTTCGTCTCCCACACACCCACCCCCCTCAGCGGCAGCTGCAGCAGTGGGAGACGGAGGAGGAGGAGGGGACAAGAGGCGGCACGCGTGCTGCAGAAGGGGCAGCGTGGGCCCCGTAGGGCACCGCAGCGGGCGACGGCACGGGTGGGGGGGGCGCGCGCTGGCCCCCAAAGGCGCCACGACGGGCGACAGGGATGGGGGCCGCGCGGGCCCCCGAGGGCGCCACGGCGGGCGTCAGGAGGGGGCCGCGCGCGGGCCCTCGAGGGCGCCACTGCGGGCGTCAGGAGGGGGCCGCGCGCGGGCCCCCGAAGGCGCCTCGACGGGCGACGGGAGGGGGTCGCGCGCGGGCCCCCAAGGGCGCCACGCCGGGCGACGGAAGGGGGGGCCGCGCGGGCCCCCGATGGCGCCATGACGGGCGACGAGGGGGCCGCGGACGAGCCCCCCGGGGCGACGAAACCGCCGTGCGCCCCGAGGCGCGCGACGGGCAGGGCACCGCCGCGCGCCACGGGGTGCACGACGGACAGATCAGGGCGTCGCGCTGCCCCCAGGGCGGCGCGACAAGCAGAAAACCGCCGCGCGCCTCGAGCGCGCGGCGGGAAGAAAAATGGCCGCGCGCGCAGGAAGGAAAATGGCCGCGCGCCCAGGCAGAAGGACAGCGCGCGCCCGAGGCGCGCGGTAGGCAGTAAAGGCAGCGGAAGTATTGGTAGGCCCATCAACAGGATCGACCCAGGAGGGTCGACCTGCTCTGATTCCATGTCGAAAGTCTAGGCAAAAGTTAGAAACAGAAAAGAGGATTGCACTAGCAAGCAGTTGAGTACATATAGCAAACCCTAAATTGGGCTGTACTCACTATTGAGTACCACACTGCAGGCTAGACAAACATAACATTCTGACAATATCGCAACCACACAACACAACTAAAAGGTGACATCAGAAGTAACATTTGTCTAAATGTCTTGGGCAAGTCCCCTTTGCCACCCCTTTGCCACGTGGACGACTGAACGCCATGTATAAAGATATTTCCTGCCAGCTGTCAAGGTGAATAGTGGACAGAAAAATGCCACGTGGACCAATCAGATTTCGAGAAACATATTGGCGCATGCAATTCGTACGTTAAGCATGTACATGGAGACATATATATTTCTAGAAAAATATATTTAATACATCAGACCTGACAATTCGCAATACTAACACCATAATCAACATGATCTGGCACAACTAAACAATCTAAATGAAGGTACTTGGCAAACATTGCTGCCATTTCAACCACTTGAGCCTGGAGTTCTGAAACACATGTAAAAAAAGAAATATCAAATTTCAACAAAGGCGGGGTAGTTTTTTCCCTCTTGGCCATGGTACCTGCAAAAACTGATGTTAGCCAGGATACCTGCAAAATCTGATGTTAGATTAACAGACGTTCAAGTGTACGCAGCACAACAGAGAAGTAATTAAAGGGAGTCAACATTGCAAGTAATTCAAACGAGGTGGTTACTTACTGGCTACTTACCTGTCCTGTACGCGACATCATCTGACTTACAATAACGTGGCAAGGTGACGGTAATGAAGACACATATGCGCACAGTACATAAGAGAGAATGCACATATAATACGTTCGACAATCCTCACCTTACAGATCCATTCTGTGCACCGCATAGTAAGCGCGCGAGACCTGCTGGGTTGGAAAAGAGCGCCCACATCGATAAAAGCATACAACATGGCAGCGTGGAATCAACGGAAAAGCGAGACATGCTGCGACGTACCGGAAAATGCAGCACGATGTGCGCCATCTGCTGTGCGGTAGTAAGATGAACCCAGTTGACATTAATAGTTGAACTGTACCTGCAGCCAATAGTCCGACGGCACAAAAAGAAATGAATAATACAAAATTAGCTTTAAGAACTCTCGACCGAAAGCACAGCATGGCACCATGAGGCACATTAGAGCGTCATTCCGTCAGCAAATTATGGCGGATAGATCTGGAGAAGGGAGAAATGGGCGAGGGATGAGATTGAACAGCAAGGAAACATGGTCGAGAAACTGGTTGAGAAGAAATGGTGAAATGGTGAAGAAATGGTTCGAGATGGGTGAGGTGTTGACGTGGAGATAAGGAATTGTGTTGATTGGTGGGAAAGAGTTTGGTTCCTCTCTCGATTGGTTAAAAAATGTGTGTTGGTTGGGGGGTTAGTGTTTGGCGACGATTTTGTACTTCGCACATTTCGTTGGCTTGTGTTTGTCGCCATGCTTGCTGATTGGTGGTTTGACTCTCGAATTTTCAAACTTTCGGTCAAATCTGTTACATTTCGTGGTATTCGTCTATTTCTTTGAAAAGAGAACCACACTGTAAACCATTGTATCACGCGAAACACCACTAGGGTGAGCGTGGATAGAGGTAGAGTGGCGAAATCAACATTTTCGCCACTTCATAGTTGCGTGAAAGCGAGTGGCCATTTGTCACTTTGAAGTCACTTTGGGGCCAGAGCTTTCTCTGAGCCCCGCCGAAGCTTTTCCGAAGCTTTTCCGCAAGAAAAGCTTCTGTGTACATTTTGTGGGTTCGAGACATTTCGCGATGGGAGTGGCGTGAGCGGAGGAAGTGACAGGCAGCCGCCCGCCGGCGGCGGGGAGGAAGGCTGCGAGGGACGCTGAAGGTGGTGATGCTGTGGGGGTCGTTGGGAGTGATGACGTTGCAGTCGCTGTACCCCCTGTGACAAGCGTTACAACTGCACAAAGGCACCACCCAAGACGAGCTTTAATCAAAAGGCGGCAGAGCCGTGCATCGGATGCACTTGCGAAAGGGCGTCAGTGCGGGCGCTCACGTATCAGTACCCAGCAAAGCACAGCCTGCTCCATGAGAAGAGATGACAGAGTGACGAGCCGTTGAAATCACAGCCGTAAAAACATGCAGGTTTCAAAAGCGAGCAAAGATGCTGGACTAGATAACACGATGATCAAGAACAGCTAAGTTCGTTGCTACTTATGCGCGGTGAGGCGCTTTAGAGCAGTTCGGTGACAAATCTTGGAGCGGGACGTCGTCGTGCCTGAGTCGCATGATGAAAATCTTTCACCTGATGACGAGATGGTGCCAGGAGAAAGGCATGTGAAGCAGGAGCTATGGCGATTCCCATCTTGTTACAGCCCTACCAGCACATGCACAAGCACGGACGATTCCGAATCGCGCTGCACAGTCCGCTTGGCAAGCGGGCCGCGGGACGGAGGACATATGGAAAGGTGTCTGGCTTTCCGGGTTCCGGGTTCTGAGTCGTCGGATTCCTCTCAGTTCAAAAACTCGCCTAGGTGCGAGACTTAAGCTTAGTAGAGAGCAGCTCCCAACGCATCTCCCGCCAACAAGAACAGAGGAATCGAGGGTTGGATTTGAGCGTGAGCGAAACAAGGTTTCCTAAGGGCGGGGTCGGCGCGTTCGTCCTGACCTGACTCGACTGGAAGCGACGCGTAACTGGCGTGCTTGTCGGTGACGTTTTCGCGAAAGATGAATTGGCAAACGTGGCCAAAATACTATTTTGGGTCAGCAACATGATGCAGTGACGTTGTAGCGAAGTTTCGGAGACCACTTCCGCACTGAACAGCTCGTCACAAGTTGACTCCCAGCCGCGCTCTTTTATCCGCTATTAGTCTGGAAGCTCCTTCGAGCAGTTCGGCAATAATATTGGACGAATCGTCCCGACTCGCGACATGAAATATTTCACACGACGATGACGCCAGCAGCAGGACATGTCACCGTACAAGCAGACGATTCACGCTGCACGTGTCCAAGAGGGCGGCGGAAGGTGTCTGCCCTTCCGAGTTCTGACACGTGTACTGAGTCGTCGAATTCCTCTCTGTCCAGCTCGCCTTGCTGCAAAGGCTAACGAACACGGGGGAGTCGAAAAATGAACCTCGAAAAATGAATCTCAAAATGGGGGGTGGGGTGGATGTGCTGAGACCGAGAAGCGGCTGGCGTTCGAGGTCCAGCCAGGGCTATCTTGTTCTTCACCGTGATTGGCTATTCGTCACTCATGCACAACACCCTTTCGCGACTAGCGAAATTTGCTATTTCGCTCATGCATTCCCACCCACGACCCCTCTGCAGCTCATCACTGCAATCCACCACTCGCATGTAGAAACGCACAGTGAAAACTGGTGAATAATGTACACAGTAACAAAGTCATGCAATTTCTTAAACGCACTCACAAATTGAATGCATTTTCCATAACAGGACATTACTCAAAACAGGACGTATCAAAAGTTTGTACATATATTAAACCAATCCACATGGGCATGTCCCACGTCCCTTATTTGCATGGCTGTGCCCTGGAGTCGTGGACTCCCAGCCACCGTACATGCCAGTTGGCGTGATGCTAGGTGTGTCTGTGCACATGGTGTGGTACAATGTGGTGCAGCATGGTGCTGTGAGATGTGACAACCGTGCAACTGTTGCTCAATCGCCAGCTCATTTTAGCCGGCCAATAGTGCCTCCAAATCAAGAGCAGGTGAGGTTGGGGGGAGGGAGCGGGATGGTGCTGCCGACAGTGGTAGAGTTGATACCAGCATTGGCAATGGCCTCATGCACTGTCGCCAGCCATAGCTGCAGCTGCACAGAGGGAAGGAGAATGACACAGGAGGACAGGAAAGAGAGGTGGTTAGATGGACATGTTTGAGATGCATCAAAGCTGGAGTTGATGCCAGCATTGGCAATGACCTCATGCACTGTTGCCAGCCAGAGCTGCAGCTGCACGGAGGGACAGAGGCGTTGCACGGGAGGAACGGCTTGAGGTTAGATAGGGGCACGCTTGGGTAGCAAGAGGGGTAATGAGAGGTGAAGATGGGTGAACGAAAGACTGTCAGAACGCGACGAGCCTCACCTTGGCACAGCTGCGAGTGGCACATTCCAGCTTGAACCCGTAGCTGGTCGTCACGTGGAACGCAAACCACTCCTCCGATGGTGATGACGGCGTTGCTACAGCCGGCGCTACAGCAGATGATGTCTCCTTTGCTACAGCCGGATGTGCAGGGGCCATGTGGAGGGTGCCGGCAGAGGCGATGGAGGCGACGGGGAGGGTGATCTGCGGGTGCAGGTCGGTGGCGTGCAGGTAGCATGCTATGTCGGTGGGCGTGAGCGTCACGAAGCGCGGCACCCACTCGTCCTCCTCCGTGGCGGTGGTGCCATTGAGAGTAGCTGGGTCGTTCGGTGTGGACGCCCATTTCTGGGAGGAGAAGGAAGGAAGTGAAAACGTGTGAAAGAGGGGAGGGAGGAAGGAAAGGGAGAGGAGGGTTGATGGGGATTTGCAGGTGGAGAAGGGAGTGGAAGATAAAGAGTAGGGGGGGGAAGAGAGAGGACCAGGAGGGTGATCTGCGCCTGTTTGCTGCTTACCGTTCTGGTGGGCAGATACTCCACGAGCAGAGACTCCTTCAGGAGGTCATCCAGGTGACACAGCCTGATCGCGGAAAGGGGAGGGGGACGGAAGAGGGAGAAAGCCAGGGTAAGTAGAGATAGGGTAGAGTGAGGGAAAGAACAGAAAGAAAGAAAAAAGAAAATGAACAAGTGAGGCAGAGGAGGGAGCCAGCAGCAGCAGCAGCAGCAGCAACAGCAGCAGCAGGAGGCGACTCACTGGGCTTTGACGGTGCACTCCCTCTCCTCTGCTGCTGTCACCTCCCCTCGCAGACACACCACCTCCTCCACCACCGCCGCCACCACCTCCCCCTCCTCATCTCCTTCCCCCTCTTCCTCTCCCTCCTCTCCCTCCTCTCCCTCTTCTCCCTCTTCCTCCTCTCCCTTGCTGCGTCTTCTCCTCCCTTCCTTCTCTTCCAGAGCTCGTGGACTCTCCCTCTCTTCCTCAGACTCCTGCTGTCCTTCCTGCCTGCTTCCCCAACCGGCAAACCACCCCCCCACAGCCCCGGCCACCCCGCTCCCCTGCCTGCTTATCCGGGCGGCAGGAGACTGCACTGCTGCCGGCCGGCCTTCCCCTGCCCCACCGGTGGTATTTGTCCTTTTCTGCAGAAGATCTGATACGATTGAGGCGCCAATGCTGCTGGTGCGACGGTGGCGGAAGGGATGGCTGGAGTGGGGGAAATGTGAAGGGTGGGAGGAAGAGTTGAGCGAGGAGGAGGAGAGAGGAGGGAGGGAGCAGAAACTACTACCACTGGAGGTGCGTTGGATAAAGGTAGAGGAGGGAGAGGACCAGGGGGAATGGGAGGGCTGTGATGACCTGCAACTGAGAGCTGAAGGGGTGTTGGCAGTAGAGGAGGCGTCATAATGCCGGCTTTTAACTGAGTGTTGCTTGGGTAAGTGATGAAGGAGAACAGTGGGGTCGGAGCCGCACCGCACTGCACCCATTCCAACCCTACCGTTCACAGCACCGCCGCAGAGCACCGCACTGCCACCACCAGCGGCTGCAGCAGAATCTACGGCAGACGAGGTAGATGCGGAGGAGAAGTCAACGGTTGAGAGCGGTGGAGGTGGGTGGTGTGCGGCAGGAGGGGCAGCAGCCTCTGCGGTTACCAGCTGGCGACGATGGGATTCGAAGAGGGTGTAATCGGCCAATCGCATGCGAGCAAGAGCCGGGTGGGAGTTTGTGATGCCGACCAGCGAGAGACCGTCCACCTGATGCTGATCAAAGTCCCGTGCGTACTCTGGGGGAGAGGGGAGAGAGGGATGGGGGGGAAGGGAGAGAGAATGAGGAGGGAGAGGGAAGGCGGGGTGGGAGGGAGAGGGAAGGCGGGGTGGGAGGGAGAGGGAAGGCGGGGTGGGAGGGAGAGGGAAGGCGGGGTGGACGTGTGTGATTCCGACGAGAGAGAGCCCGTTCACCTGATGCTGATCAAAGTCCCGTGCGTACTCTGGGGGAGATGAGGGAGCAGGAAGATGAGGGAGGAAGATGAGGGAGGAAAGGGAGCGGGGAAAAAGAGAGATGTGTGTTGCCGACGAGAGAAAGCCCATCCACCTGATGCTCGTCAAGTCACGTGCATACTCTGAGGCAAAGGGGGAAGAAGGAGAAGAGGGGGGGAAGGAGAGGGGGCTTCACTCTTTCAGACAAGGTGGGTCGGTGTATGCGTGCAGGCGTGCAGGCGTGCAGGCGTGCGGGCGTGTGTGCAGGCGTGTGTGCAGGCGTGTGTGCAGGCGTGTGTGCAGGCGTGTGTGCAGGCGTGTGTGCAGGCGTGTGTGCAGGCGTGTGTGCAGGCGTGCATGTATGTATATCCCGCATCTCACCTCGCCCACTGCCGTCTGGGAAGCCAACAGAGTGGATGAGCCACGAGCACACGTCACTCGTGCTCCACTCAATCAGACTGACCGGACCGCTCCACACCGCACTGCACTCCTGCAACCTCCCAGCACTAGCGCTGGCGCCAGCAGCAGCACCACCACCAGAAGCCGCACGAGTAGCAGCAGTAACACGGTTACCAGCAGCTCCAGCAGCAGAGGCACCAGCACCAGCACCCAGGTCACGAGTGGCAGCAGTAGGAGCAAAGCCAGCAGCAGGCTGAGGGAAGGGGGCTGCTGAAGCAGGTTGAGGAAGGGGCGGCGGAGCATCCAGGGCGGAGGTGGAATTAGGGAGGGACGCAGCAAAGTTGCCACTGCTGCCACAGTGAACCCGGAGGTTTGGCCTTCTCCTCGCCCATGTGCTCTTGCCACTGCTGCTGCTGCCACTGCTGCTGCTGCCACCGCTGCCAGAGTTGCTCCCACTGCCCCTGCCACTTGTGCTGCCACCGCTCTGCACCGCATCCTTCTCTGCTACGTCCATGCCACCCATTCGTCTTTCACCATCACCTGCTTTGCCTCCCGTACTTTGCCTAGCCTCACTCCATTCGTCAGCCTTAGCCTCGGCAGCTCGCTGCAGGCGAGCAAGCTTCAGGCCCGGGCCAACCGAACCTCCAGCCTCGGCAACAGGTTCAGTACTTCCTCCAAAGCAGCCCTCTCTTTCCTTTTCCTCGTCAGATAATGACTCATTTGCAGAAATCTTTGGCGAGGAGATGCCCTTGCGGTCCCGAGGGGTTCGGAGGGATACGTCTGGGTCCAGAAAGCTGACCCCATTTTCCCAGGAGGTCAGCAGTTCAGCTAGATTGACACTCCCTTCCCGTGCTGCGCGTGCATGACTAGAGGGTGATTTCACCATCGAAGGTGCTGCTAACGCCTTGTACAGAGCTTCTCTTTGCGCTGCCGCAGCTGCTGTTGCTTCTGCTGCCTCTGCCCTTTCCGCTGCAGCTTCTGCAGCAGCAGCTGCTGCTGCTTCTATCTCTGCAGCCTCCGCCTGTCCATCTGTGCCTGCCTCTGCAGCTGCTGCTTCTGCTTGCTGGTAATGAAACGAGCGGGACGATCTAAGGGAAGCAGCAGAGGCGGCAGCAGAGTCAGCAGCAGGGCGTTGGGAGGAGTCAGGAGCGGTTAAGGGCGGTAGGGAGATGGAGATGTGGATATTGCTGCTGCTGTTGGAGCGGGCGTGTCTGCGGGGGGCGGGAGAAGGAGTGAGAGGGGGAGGCGGGCGGAGGCCTGAGGGAGTGAGGGGGGATGCGCGTGGGGCTAGGAGCGGGTGCATGGAATGGTGTCTCTGCAGTGCTGCTGCTGCGGCACCTGCTGCTGCTGATGCTTGCTGTGGTCTTTGCTGGGAAAACACGTGCTGCTCTTGCTGATGCGTCTGCTGCTGTTGCTGCTGATACTCCTGCTGCTGCTGCTGCTGCTGCTGTTGCCATCCCCGTGCCTTGGGGTCCTTGCGAGGAGGCAGACCCAGCCCTGACCGCGCACCACCAGCACCACCAGCACCAGAAGCACCAGCAGCAGAAGCAGCGGAAAGCCCAAGAGGAGGAGAAGAACCAGCAGCAGCAGCCCTCTGACTCGACTCATGCCTCTCATACCCACCAGAAGCGCCTGGGCCACCACCAGTGGAGAGCAGCGATAGGTGGTTCGGATCCGACGGCTCTACTAGCAGCGACGAGAGGTCGCCGAATTTGTCCGTTAGATCCATGGACAGGTGCCGATAGGCTGACGTCACTCGCCTGCGCGCCTTGCCAGTGGGCGGCACTAGTACACCAGAGGCAGTGCCAGCAGCAGCAGCGGATGGAGCAGCAGCAGCAGCGGCTCCAGTAGCGCCGGTAGCCCTGTTAGCAGCACCAGCGTTACAGTATGTACGCCTTATAGCGTCCTTGTCGCTGCTATCAAGCGTTCTGCTCTTTCCAAACTCGGCACCGAATCCCCCACCCCCGCCTTGAGCCTCGTTCCAGCTCCTGTTGACACTATCACCACCGCTGCTGGCACGTTGTGAACTATGGGAACTATTCGCCAGTAAACTACTCGCTAATAGACTAATTGGCCTGCTACTAGAAGGGGGTCGCCTGGCGGCGGTGGCTGACCTATCAATAGCATCTAGGGTTCTGCTTCTGTTGTATGTAGAGTCAATAGGAGACGACGGATTATTGCTGCTGTAGCTGCTCTCAGGCCTGTCGTCCCCGTTGCAAGCACTCCCGATAGTATTGGTCTTTCTATACACTTTGGAACCGCTTTGTTCCATCCTCAGCTTCTCGCTAACACTATACGCGCTATGAGCACTATGGGCACTATGAGCACTATCCATGCCGCCGCGCGGAGGGATATCCCGGCCGCTTCTGTCGCTGCTGCTCCGCTCGCTTTTGCCCGAAAACCGCGTGTAGGCTCGTGCAGCTGCCTTATCTCTGTGATCCAAGCTCCTACACTTGTCAAAAACCATGCCTCCCGAATTCCCGGTGTTGTCGCGCGGGCTGACATCCCGTGTCGGATGCTCCCTGCTACTTCCGTAAATCCTGCTACCGCCGTTTCTGCTGCTTCCGGGCACGTCCCTGTCGCCGCTGCTTCGCCAGTTTTCGCCACTCCAGCTGCGACCGCTGCCGCCGTCGCACAAGTGATCGTTTCGTGCTCTGCTGACGCCCGCGCCCTCGGGATTACCGAGGCTGCGAATCGCATGAGTTGGCATCGCCTCGTGTCGTCTATCCGACGCGAAATCCTCCGCGTTATCCGCGTCGGGGACCGCACCGCCATAATCGTCACGATGATTATCATAACGAGTATAGCTGTCATCGTCGTCATCAGCATAGTGCCTACGATGGCGACCGTTGTCACTGTCATCCTCCTCCTCATTGTCGACCTCGTCGTTATCGCCGTCGCCGTCGTTATCGTCGCCATCGGCGACAGAGACCAGCGAGTCAGAGGAGCCGTTGTGAAGAAAGCGACCCAACGGGTAACCCTCTTCGACCGCTCGCTGCGGACACGGAGGAAACGAAGCGATAGCCGTGAGAGTGCTTGCAACGAAGTGGCGTAGGCTATCAACGAAGAGCAGGGTTAAATTGTGCTACAAACGAGGGGTGGAACAGCGGGCAAGGGCACGCGGGGAAAGGCAAGAAAGGGGACGAAGCAAAGGGCCTGATCAACAGGCTAAGATCATATTGCGGAGTTACCTCGAAACACAAAACGCAGGCTTTCGATGGTTCTCCTCCTTCCTCGATCTGCAAGAAACGGAAATACCGAGAAATTAAAAGCAAAATAACAAAACGCACGTGGTTTGGATGATAAACAATACCGTTTCACGAAAAGCGGAGGTAAGAGACTTTCGCAAGAGTGTTGACGAAACTTGCCGGCGTCGCAGTGTTCACTCGCAAAGTGCCACGAGAGACGCGAATCGGGTCGTACGTGGAACGTACCATGGCGGTGATAGGTTTGAGCGGCAAAATGCACTGGGTGCACTCGATACAGTACACGTTCCCGCAGCACCTGCAATGGTGCCTGTGAAACCAACGGGGGGAAAGACAGGGGTTGAGTGGACGGGTTTTCATTGAGAAACGAACGAAACAATATTTTGACCGTGCTCATGATCGAGTTAAGGGGTGACTTGTCGACTCAAAAGTCACCTCGTTGCAATGGCACACGACACGGTTTTCATTGAGGAACGAAAAAAAACAATAACTTGACCGTGCTCATGCTCGAGTAAAGGCGATACAAGCGATTTTAGAGAATCTCCCGGGGGGGATGAATCACGGCAGCGATCACTCATTAGGACCTATCGATCACGATTATCGCCTACTACATATGACCTACTTACGACCTACTTTCGCTCTTTCCGGCTGAACTCGCGGTTGCAAGCAGGGTTGGTGCATTGCTTGATGGCTCCGTTCGGCATCCAATGGCTGCGCGACACGATATCGCCCGGACCCACCGGCGACTCCAGCCATGCGTCCGCCGACCCCATCCTGTACGCGATAGCCGTCGCCGTTGTGTATGCTTACTGGGTCACGCCACCTGGTTCTGACCTATCGTCGATACTGAGAATATTCCGACTACTTGCGAAGTTCTTGCTGTATCTGTGTCTCTTGCACTGCACGGATATACACACAGCTTGCCTGTTCAGTCGAGGCCCTTTTACGGAGAATAATAAACTGAGAGCAGAGACTCGAGTAGTCGTAGACGCCGACGGACTACCGCTTCAAGTGAAGGCTTGACTAGCATTACGAAATCATTCAGGAGATTCCCGCGCAATCTTTCTCTCTTCTCTCGGAAAATCAAGGCTACGGGGAACATATGAAAGACTTGAGGCAACGGGCGTGTGGGCACCTCAGGTACTGTGGTTTACATCGTTTTGTTCCCTTTCTTGATTATTGCGCGTCTGCTTTCTGGCTCGGAACATGAAGATCGGTGCTTGGGAATTTAGCAGAACAGATGGGAGAGGGGGCGGGCGGGATGCATAGGAGCGGGATGGCGCGCCGCATGATACTTCGAGTCTGGTTTGGTAAGGTGCTTTACGTTCTGTGACGTTCAAGTTAGCACCAAAGCTGGTTGGGTCCGGTACATAAGCAACGAACGTTAAACACCCAGGTCATCCTTTTCCAGGCTGAACCCACTTCGCAGTTTACCAACCACCACCACCACTGCCACGTGAACTTCGCATGTTCGCTCACAGTAACCCTCACGAACACTGTTACTGTGCCACGAACTCTGAACGAACATCGTTGATCTGTTGATTACGACTCTCTGGCCTTGCTGTGGGCGGTTGTGGTCAGGGCAGCAAGCTTTTTTTGACCGAATCGAGGGTATTCTTGTAGTGATGCCACATCTGACAGAGAAGCCCGTGTGGCGAAGTTGTCGGCAACAGCGAGACGCCTTCATTGTTGCTCTCGTCTCGAGCGAAAAGACAGCAACCCCCAACTCTCGAACGCAGCCAGTCTGGAGTCTCATGGATCCACGTGGAGCCAGGCTGCCAAGACCCTCTTGGCCCACACAGAAACAAGAGAGGCCATTACGGTCAGGGGCTGGGAGTCAGGGACAATCTTGTGAACGGCTGGGACGTGCTCGTTGGGGGATATTACCAGGCAACTTGGAACCCCGATATATTAAGGAATGCATCGAGCAAGATGGAGCTACATGCCTATAAACCTACCATCTAACAGGTATTGAAAACGGCACTTTCTGAAGGAAATCATGCATAAAGTGGTTTTAGGGAAGGACCCTTCCTAATGCTCAACATGTCTAAACAAGAGTCCACTCCTCGGTGTGCGTTACTGTATGTTTGAGCATTTTCGAGTTCATGCACAACCCCATACTTCAATCCACATACAAGCACATCCCATAACCAAATGTCACAAACGGTTTCCACCAAGTTACACAAAAAATGATTATTCCACAATGATCTCTACATTACAACCCTTTGAAGGGAAATACAGTCTTTCCAGGATACAATGAGCTATGCGTGGGAGTAGGAGCCACCCAACGCATGAAAGCACAGCACACCCTCACAAAACAACAGAAAGCTTCCCACCCAAGCCACACACACAGCATGCCTTCATTCCACCCTCACCACCACACTGCGGCCTTCCAAACACCACTCCCCCGAGTAAAATCAGTCAGTACAGCCCCATACCCTAATCTCTCCTCCAACCAGTCGCTTTGCAGAAATGAAGAGACGAAGTATGGACAATTCGTTTCAAGGGGTGACGGAGAAGAGGCTGGTCGCCCAGTTGTTGCGGGTGGTGCGCTCCTCTGTAGCGTACTGCCCTGCCGCCCACACGGTGCCCGTGGCGTCGACTGCCAGCGCCTGTGTGGTGCCGTAGCGGACGAACGCTACCGCGTCCGTGCTCTTTGTCGAGTAGCCTGGGGGAAGGCGGGGAAGGGGACGGGAAGCAACACAAGGGCAAACGGAAATTAGTGAAAGATAGGAATCTCTAGATTCTTGTGCCAGCAGCTGTGTGGTGCCATAGCGGACGAATGCCACCGTGTCCGTGCTCTTTGCCGAGTAGCCTGGTTATACGGGTAAAGGGATGAGGATGAACGGATATGGGGCGGGGGATAGGGGATTAGTGATGGGGATAGGAAAGCAGGACGAGAGGGATCAGAAAGCAGTGATAGAGAGATTGTGGAGAGTGTGGAGGGTACAGACAGCAGAGAGTGTGGCAGTTGTCTCAACAGACAGATCGTGAGACGACGTCAAGAGGTGCAGCCTGGAAGGACTGGACACTCAGCCTGGACGCCTTGCTAGTGCTGTCTTGGTGAAGCACACTGGAAACTCACTTGGCGAGTCAACGTCAAGCGGTGCAGAGCTCTGCACAACGGTGTAGAACTTGAGGTCCTTTGGGCTGATTCCTGCCTTGGTGACGCGCACAAAGCCCACAGTGGGGTAGCTGTTGGGGCTAACGAGCGTCGCCAGTATGATGCCCTTGCCTAGCCTGGCGGGGGGTGAGAGACAAGCGGAGGAGAAAACACGGTCAGGGGATCGCGGCGCGACAGCTGCAGCTCAAGTCATCGCACACAGCGCAACCACAGCAGCCCAAGTCATCGCACACAGCGCAACACCCGCAGCTCAAGTCATCGCACACAGCGCAACGCATGCAACTTGACTCACAAAGCCTTGAGGCGCCTCAGCAGCGCATGCAGCCCGTCTCAATATCATCGTACGCGACTCACTTGTTGAAGGCAATGGTGGGAGCGATCAAGTTGGCCATGGGCACG